TTTTTTTTTTTTTTTTTTTTTTTTTTTTTTTTTTTTTTTTTTTTTTTTTTTTTTTTTTTTCCTTAATAAGTTAATAAAGTTAATAATATAGATAGATAGAAAGAAAGGTAATAATAATATAAATAAAATAAGGGGAAAAAAAAGAGTAATGAATAACTACTTACATTGTAAATAAGGATCAGGTAAATTAGCAATAATACATAATTTACTAATCATAAAAGGAATAGGATCTGCAGGCATAGCCAATAATATTTCTGTTACTATTTTCTCTAATATAGGGGATAATTTTAATTGAATATATTCTTCATACTCCCCTCCTCCTCCTCCTCCTCCTCCTCCTCCTCCTATTCCTCCTCCTCCTCCTCTTTCTCCTCCTCCTGTACTATTCATCCTGTATAAAAGAGGAGGAAAAAAAACGTAAAAAATACGTTTTTTACGTTTTTTTTTTCTTTTTTTTTTATTTATTTTTATGTACTTTTTCTTTTATCTTTTGTTTTTTATTTGTTACTTTTTATTACTTGTCTTATTATTAGTAATAATATATTATAACTTTTATAATATATATATAATAGTTACCCTAAACCCTAAACCCTAAACCCTAAACCCTAAACCCTAAACCCTAAAGAGTTGTAGATAGATTTGAGGGAGAATACAAACCCTAAACCCTCGTTATAACAAACCCTCTAAACCCTAAATAGCTAAAACCCTCGTATACAACAAAGCAGAAAAAAAAAGGGGTTGTATGTATATACAAAACCCTAAACCCTAAACCCTAAACCCTAAACCCTCTAATGGGTGGCGGCATAAACCCTAAACCCTAATGCTATGAAGGGAGACAAAACTAAAGGCAAAACAACAGCAGCAACAGCCTAATGCTGCTTCTGTTGCTGCTGTTGCTGCTGCTGTTGCTGCTGCTGTTGCTGCTGTTGCTGTTGCTGATGTTGCTGCTGTTGCTGCTGCATGCTATTCTCCAGAGACAGCAGAAGGAAAATAAATAAATAAATAAATAAATAAATAAATAAATAATAACTAATAATTAATTATTTATTATTAATTAATAAATAATAATAAATAATAAATAATTAATTATTAATTATTTGTATACAACAAAACAAAAAAAAGAAACAACTGCTTAGAGGACACCAATACATATAGAAGCAGCAGCAGCAGCAGCAGCAGCAGCAGCAACAGCAGCAAGACCAGCAAAAACGGCAGCAAGAAAAGGAATTAATTGCTGCTGCTGCTGCTGTTGCTGCTGCTGCTGCTGCTGCTATATATTTGTACACCCTTTTTATTGTTTTAGCTGCCTATACACCCCAACAATATCCATTAAATCTTTTGTTGTTTGTTGTTGCAGTGTACGTACACCTCAGCAGCAGCAGCAACAGCAACAGCAGCAGCAGCAGCTATTTTTCTTACCTGGCTAACAGGAATAAATAAAGCTTGCAAAGGGGATTGTTGTGTTTGCTGCTATTGCTGCAGCTGTTGCTGCTGCTGTTGCTGTTGTTGCTGCCGCTGCAGCTGTTTTCCTGTTGCAGTAATGTCCCCTGTTGCTGTTGCTGCTGCTGCTGCAGCTGTCTCCGCTATTGTTGCTGCTTCTGTTGCAGCTCTTTCTTCTGCAGAAGCTGCAGAAGCTGCTGCTGCTGCTGCTGCTGTTGCTGTTGCTGCTGCTGCTGCTGTTGCTGCTGCTACACACGCAGGGTAAACAGGCAGCAAGTAGCAGGCAGCAGAGCACCTGAATCTGTTACTTCTTCTATATAGGTAGAGCAGCAGCAGCAGGTGCTGCTGCTCTTGCTGCTGCTCTTGCTGCTGCTGCTGCTGCTGCTGCTTTTTTTAGTATTCTTATGGTGTTTCTATTATTGCTGCACCCTTACTTCTTTTTCTTTTTGCTGCTGCTGCTGCTGCTGCTGCCTACAGCAAATAGTATCTGCATGTGCATTTGCTGCAGCAGATGTCGTAGCTGCTCGCAGCAGCAGCAGCAGCAGCTGCTGCTGCTGCTGCTGCAACAGCCGCTGCAGCAGCAACAGCAGCCCTACAGAGCTCAAGTGTACGTACACCGCACCGCTCGGCTGCTGTTGCTGCACCGCTGTCTTGTTATCTATTCTTTCTTTTTTTTAATAATTAATTTAATTTATTTATTTATTTAATTTAATTAAATTAAATTAAATTATAAATAAAATAAAAAAGAATAAATCTTTTGCTGCAGCAAAAGATAAAGAAAGGAAGAAGAAGGTCACTTATATAAGCCCCTTCCTTAGGCAACTTTTTCTTTTTATTTTATCAGTTAATTCATCATTTAATTCATTATTTTATTCATTATTTTATTTATTTAATTAAATAATATATAAATAAATAAATATATGCATTTAATTCCCTTTTTTTTGTCCTCCTTAGGGGGGTAAAACAGCAAAAACTCATTCTTTGCAGATTTTCATGAGCTGCCTATACACCCCAATTATACAAAATAAATAAATAAATAAATAAATAAATAAATAAATAAATAAATTATTTTTAATTAATTATAAATATAAATATAACGAATAACATTAATAAATAATTATTTATATACATACATATATATCTATGTATAATATATATTACGTATATATATGCATACATATATATAATATACATATTATTTATTATTTATTTATATTTATTTATTTATATATTTATATATAAATATATATTTACGTATAAATAAATACATGTATATATATTATATTTATTATCCTTTTTAGTATCTCTTTTTTTATTTCTTAGATATTTCTTTTGTCTAAACCCTAAACCCTAAACCCTAAACCCTAAACCCTAAACCCTAAACCCTCGTCTAAGCCCTCTTGCTTGCCAACTCCGAAGGAGAACCCTAAACCCTAAACCCTAGCTAGCACTAAGCAAGACTCCCTGCCTATGTTTTATAAACCCTAATTATGAATTATAAACCCTTTGGCGGCGGGCTGTAAACCCTAAACCCTAAACCCTAAACCCTAAACCCTAAACCCTAAACCCTTGAGTTGCCATAAACAAAACAGATAATTAATTTATAAGCAAACAGCAATCTGCTGGCTGCGGTGTCTTCGCACCGCCAGCCAATTCTGCTGCTGCTGCTGCTGCTGCTGCTGCATCCCTAAGAAAATGTTGGTGCCTACAATTGCTGCATGTGCCTCCCGTATGTACACTGCAGGCTAAACCATTGGTCGTGCTGCTGCTGCTGTTGCGGCTGCTGCTGCTGCTGCTGCTGCTGCAGTTGCTGCTGTGCAGCACCTCTATGAAAGGAAAGATCCCCAAAAGCGGTTGTTGTTGCTGCTGCTGCAGTTGCTGTTGCTGCTGCTGCTGCTGTTGCTGCTGCTGTTGTTGCTGCTGCTGTATTAAAGAATTGCGGCCATACATTTTCTTGCCCCTGAGACACCCCAGCAGCAGCAGCAGCAGCAGCAGCAGCAGCAGCATCACTTGCTGCTGCTGCTGCTTTGGGTGTCTCTAGATGTCTTGCTGTTATTGGAGTCCCTATGCATTCTTTGCTCCAGCTGCTGCTGCTGCTGTTGCTGCTGCTGCTGCTGCTGCAGCGCTGCAGCGCAGCAGCAAACGCAGCACCATCTAAGGGAGGAGAGCCATCGTGTGTTCTTTGATACTTCTGCTGCCAGCAAACTCCTTGCTGCTGCTGCTGCTGCTGCTGCTGCTGCTGCAGCTGCTGCAGCTGCTGCAAGCCTGCAGGGGAGCTGATGCCGCTGCTGCTAGTATGCCGTCTGCGTCTCCTTACAGAGGCAGAAGCATCGCTGCTGCTGCTGCTGCTGCTGCTGCTGCTGCTGCTGCTGCTGCGGTATGCAGCGCAGCAAGTATTAAGCAGCTCATGCCATTGTTTAGCTCCTTCTTGCCACATCTGCAGCAGCAGCAGATTCTCTTGCTGCTGCAGCAGCAGCAGCAGCTGCTGCTGCAGCAGCACACGCCAGAAATAATAATCTGAATCATAGCGACTTCTTAATATGTAGCAGCAGCAGCAGCGCTCCCATTCCCTTACCTCTAGCTCCTGCTGCTGCTGCTGCTGCTGCTGCTGCTGTTGCTGCTGCTGCTGCTGCTGTTGATTCGGGTTAGGACGCTGTGCGTAAGGACGCAGCAGCAGCAGCAGCAGCACACCAACAAGTTTGCTGCCAGGTATCTGCTGCAGCAAACCATTTGCTGCTGCAGCGCAGCAGCAATTCAGCAGCAAATCATGCATGCATGCAAGAAGGCCAGTAGATACTATATAATCAAATAAAGACAACAAGACCCAACCCTTGCTGCTGCTGCTGCTGCTGCTGCTGCTGTCGGGGGCGGAGACAAGGAATCCGTGCTGCTGCTGCTGCAGCTGCAGCTGCTGCTGTTGCTGGTGGTCGTGCTGCATAGGCGAATGCCACGCGGCGTTAGAGACACCACTTGGTGCTGCTTCTGCTGCTGCTGCAGCAGCAGCAGCAGCAGCAGTTGCATAAGCTTGTGGTGTATGCTGCAGCAGCAGAGGGAATTGACGAATAGCAGCAAGCAGCAGCAAGACACAATCTGCTGCTGTTTGCGACAGCAGCAGCGGCGGCTGCAGCAGCTGCAGCATATCTGCTTGTACCATGATTACATCATCTACAGTAAAGAATTGCTGCTGCTGCTGTTGCTGCTGCTGCTGTTGCTGCTGCTGTTGCTGTTGCTGCTGCTGCTGCAGCTGCAGCAGCAGCTGCTGCAGATACTGATCAGCAGCAATGTCTTGCCAATGGCAGCGCAGCGCAGCAGCAAGCAGCAAAGCAGCAGTAGAGCAAAGAGCTAACTCTCTGTTGCTGCAGCACTCGCACCCGTCACCGCTGCTGCTGCTGCTGCTGCTGCTGCTGCTGTTGCTGCTGCTGCTGCTGCAGGTACACTTGAAGGGGAAGGAAGGATGAGCAGCATACGCATCTAGCAGCTGCAGCGCAGCAAATCTGCTGCTGCAGCAAAACCCTAACGCCTCCCCTGCGCCCCACAGCCACTGCCATAGGGCCTTACGCCCCATCTGCTGCTGCTGCTGCTGCTGCTGTGCAGGGTCTGCTGCTGCTGCTGCTGCTGGCAATAGTTCACGGGCAGTGGGCATGAAGGATGCTGTTGCTGTAGTGAGACAGTTGACCCATGCTGCATATGCATGTTGCTGCTGCTGCTGCTGCTGTTGCTGCTGCTGCTGCTGCTGCTGCATGAGTGCCAGCTGCTGCTGCAGCAAGGGCAGCTGCTGCTGCTGCCAAGCAGCAGCAACAGATCGCCACCAATGGAACTTTAGGTCAAGGATGTCTGCATGCAGCACAGAGAATGCTTCTTCTTCTGCTGCTGTTGTTGCTGCTGCTGCAGCAACAGCAGCAGCAAAAGGCACATGACAGAATTGCTGGTCCTTTCTGGTGCTGCTGCTGTTGCTGCTGTTGCTGCTGCTGCATGTACACCTCACGCTGCAGTTACCTATCTCTGAAGGAAGAGCAGCAGCAATCTCCAGGCTGCGGCGCTGCAGCGAGGCAATTGTTGCTGCTGCTGCTGCTGCCGGTTCTCCTGCTGCTGCTGCTGCTGCTTCTGCTGCTGCTTCTGCTGCTGCTGCAATACGCTGCCGCACTCCTTGCAGTCTATCCACCCATACATTCGTCTCAGACACTTGCTGCTGCTGCTGCTGCTGCTGCTGCTGCTGCTGATCCTGCTGCTGCTGCTGCTGCCGCTGCTGATCCTGCTGCTGCTGCTGCTGATCTGTTGCTTCGTAGGGGATTATGAATGGCAGCAGCCGCAGGGCTGCTTGTGTTGTGTTTGCTGCTGCTGCTGCTGCAGCTGCTGCTGCTCTCCTTATAGGGCTCGCTGCAGCAGCTGCAGCAGTAGCAGCAGGCGTTGAATCGGTCATGTCGCTGCATGCTGCTGCATCTGCTGCTGCAGCAGAAGCAGCAGTAGCAGCAGTAGCAGCAACAGAAGCAGCAACAGGAAACTTGCTGCGCTTGATGACTAGGCGAGTCCTGCTGTTGCTAGCTGGCGTTGCAGCAGCAGCAGAAGCAGCTGCTGCTGCTGCTGCCGTTGCTGCGTCTGTAGGTGAATGCCGTGGGGTGGTTGCTTCTGCTGCATCATCTGCAGCAGCAGCAGCAAAGTAAGCAGCAGCAGCAGCAGTCAGCGGGCTGCTGCTGTTTCGTCCACTTCTGCTGCTGCTGCTGCTGTTGCTGCTGTAGCGGCGGCTGCTTGCTGCTGCTGCTGAGGGTGGTGCTGCTGCTGCAGCACTATACGTCATACTAGGGACATCTAAAAAAGAACTTGGTGCAGCAGCAGCAGCAGCAGCAGCATTTGCTGCTGCTGCTGCTGCTGGTGTTGCATCTGACCTTGCTGAGGCCTCAGACAGCAGCAGCACGCTGTTGCTGCTGCTGCAGCGAGTGCTGCTGCTGCAGCCACGCATGCGCCGGCAAGCAGAGTTCGAAGGCCTGCTGCTGCTTCTGCTGCTTGTGCTGCTGCTTATGCTGCTGCTTATGCTGCTGCTAATAGGAGCCCACTGCATCGGCTGTTGCTGCTGCTGCTGCTGCTGCAGCTGCTGCTGCAGCAAGGGATCCCTAGTGTGGGGCCAATCATTGTTTGCAGCACATTCAATAGGCTGCAGTAAGTTGTGCTGCTGCTGCAGTTGGTGCTGCTGCAGTTGGTGCTGCTGCTGCTGCTGCTGGAGTTCACTATAAGAATCACGCTGTCGCTGCAACCTCCGCAGCTGCTGCTGCTGCTCCCGTTGCTGCAGCAGCTGCTGCCGCAGCAGCAACTTTTGCTGCCGCTCTGCCAGCTGCTCCTGCAGAAGAAATTCACCTCTTGCTGCTGTTGCTGCTGCTGCTGTTGCTGCTGTTGCTGCTGCTGCTCCTGATAGGTAAGACAAGGAGGGGGGAGTTGCTGCAGCACCGACGCTCTTCCTCCTGCGGCTGCCATCAGCAGCACAACCTTCATCTGCTGCTGCTGCTGCAGCAGCAGCAGCTGCTGCTGCTCCAACCGTTACAGGGCCACAAGAGTGGCGAGGCCGTTGCTGCTGCTGCTGCGGCGGCAGCGCAGCAACAAGCCTTGCTGCAGCACATCGTTTTTCCTCAGCAGCAGCAAGAAGGTCCTCTGCGTCTCTTGCTGCTGCTGCTAGCTGCTGCGTAAAGCTTAGACGGGAAGAGCGCCTATGACGGGGAGCAGCAGCAAGATCTGCTGCTGCTGTTGCTGCTGGTGTTGCTGTTGTTGTGGTTGCTGCTGCTGCTGCTGCTGCTGCGGATGCGGAGAGCAGCTTATCACCAGAGGGGAAGCGGCCTTCCCGCTGCAGCTGCAGCTGCTGCATTAGTCTTGCTGCTGCAGTTGCTGCTGCAGCAGCTGCTGCTATGCTGCGCTCCCTGCTGCTAGAGCAGCAGACCCTGCTGCTGCTGCTGCTGCTGCTGCACGCTGCACTTGCCGGCTCAATAGAGAAATAGGAAGTGACAAATTGACATGTGAGGGCTGCTGCTCCTTAGCCAACTGTTTGCGCTGCTGCTGCTGCTGCTGCTGCTGCTGCTGTGTGTGCTGCTGCTGCTGCCGCTGCTGTCTTTGCAGCTGACACTGCTCGCGATGGTAGGAGAGCAGCAGCGGCAAGGAGGGCAGCAGCAGCGCCTCAATACAGGAAGACATGGGGGGTGTTAATACTGTTTATCCCCGCTGCTGCTGCTGCCGCTGCTGCTGCCGCTGCTCTTGCTGCTGCTGCTGCTGCTGCTAAGTGTCTCCACCTATAGGGGGAGGCGACAAAAAAGTCTTAAGGAAATGCATTTCTTGCTGCTGCCTAATTAGTCATAATTCGTCTTAGCTGCAGCAAAAAAACCACACCTGCTGCTGCTGCTGCTACTGTTGTTGCTGCTGCTGCTGCATGCGGCGGCGGCGGCGGCGGCAGCAGCAGCAGCAACTGCAGCAGCAGCAGCAGCTGCTGCTGCTGCCCTCAATGAAATTTCTTTCCTGTTGACAGAGACATTCCTTTTTAATTTATTAATTCTTATTTCGTCCTCTCGTACGACTAGACAGCAGCAGCAGCAGCAGCAGCAGCAGGAGCAGCAGCAACGGCAGCAGCAGCAGCAGCAGCTTGCTGCTTGTAATATGGCATGAAGTCTCCTAGTAGGAGGAAATCATAGCCTTACTAATAAGAGGTGTTGCTGCTGCAGCAGCAGCAGCAACAAGAGCAGCACAGGGGGTAGCTGTCGTAGCAGCAGCCACTGCTGCTGCTGCTGCTGCTGCTGTCTCTGCTGCTGCAGAATATTCAGCAGCATTTGCAGCAACGCCTCTGCTGCACTTTCAGATGCCCCGTCAATAGCAACAGCAGCAACAGCAGCAACAACAGCAGCAACAACAGCAACAACAGCAGCAACAGCAGCAACAGCAGCAGCAGCAGCAACAGCAGCAGCAGTAATAGCAACAGCAGCAGCAACAGCAGCAGCAGCAATGATGGCGACCCGTCCTCTAGAGGGAGCGCCTGTCTCATCCTTTGATGGATGTTTGCTGCTGCAGGCCCTCAGTGTTAGTTCTGCTGCTGCCGCTGCTGCTGTTGCTGTTGCTGCTGCTGTTGTTGTTGTTGTTGCTGTTGTTGCTGCTTGAGTTGTCGCTGCTGTTGCTGCCTCTGTTGGTTTCGCCTCTCTCTTGGATACTGCTGCTGCTGCTGCTGTTGTTGCTGCTCCTCATGTGCTCGTGCTGCTGCTGCTGCTGCTGCTGCTGCTGCTGCTGCAGGAGGCGCTGCGTCGGTTGAGTTCTGCTGCCTTCGTGCGGAGGGAAACTGCACAAAAAATATTCACCATTGCCAAGCAGGTCTGCTGCTGCTGCTGCTGCTGCTGCTGCTGCTGTTGCTTCTGCTGCTGCTGCTGTTGATGACTCTGGTGTTGCTGCTGTTGCTGTTGATTGGGATACCGTTGCTGAAGCAACTCCTGCATCTGCTGCTGCATCTGCTGCTGCTGCTGCTGCTGCTGCTGCTGCTGCTGTGTCCTACAGGAGTTGCTGCGGTTGGTGCTGCAGCGCAGCAGCAGTCTTCCTTCCTTAGCAATAAATTCGCATCTTGCGGTGTATAGACACTCCAACATAGGAGCAGCAGCAGCAGCAGCAACAGCAGCAGATGATTGGGCAGATAATACATGGCTATTTGTGCTGCGTGATCCCCTTATTGGTATTATTCCTGCTGCTGCTGCTGCTAACAACGGCAGCAGCAGCAGCAGCAGCAGCAGCGCAGCACAAAGGAATAAGAGCGCAATAGCACAGGCAGAGTCGCTGCTGCTGGAGCTAAGGAAGCAGCAACTGCAGCACGAAGCAGGGCAGCAGCAGCAGCAGCAATTAATGCAAGAAGCAGAAGAAGACCCATCAGGTAATTCCCTCGTGCTGCTGCTGCTGCTGCTGTTGTTTGTGTTGCTGCTGCTGTTGCTGTAGTGCCACACGTCGACGCTGCTAGGACTACTCTTGCTGCTGCTGCACTTGCTGCTGCTGTTGCTGCTGCTGCTACTCATGTTGTTGCTGCTGCTGTGCTGCTGCTGCTGCACTACAGAGTTATTGGGCATTGATGCAGATTTTATGTTGGATGGTCCTGGCAGCAGCAGCAGCAGCAGCAGCATGAGCAGCAGCAGCAGCAACATCAGCAGCAACAACAGGAGCAGCAAGATCCCTCGTTTACAGGCAGGAGGAGCAGCAGGAGAAATAGGTGACCGTCAATACATACAGCAGCAGCAGCAGCAGCAGCAGCAGCACCTCCACCTACATCATCATCATCAGCATCAGCATCAGCAGCAGCAGCAGCAGCAGCAGCAGCAGCAGCAGCAGCAGATATCATTAGAGGGTATAGAGGTATTTAGATATAAAGGGTTTGTAAGAGCTTGGCTACAAGATAAGAATGCATTTGCTGATGTACTGCAGCAGCAGCAGCAGCACCGCAGCAGATTAGAGGAAAGAAAAAGGAAGATAGGTGTTGATTAGATAGTACCAGCAGCAGCAGCAGCAACAGCAGCAACAGCAGCAGCAACAACATATATATATATATATATATATA